CACTGGTACACTGAGTTTCCCCATAGCGCTGTCCTTGTAAGCTGTGTTCAACATCACAACAATTTCTGTGGCATTCTTCCCAAGCAGGAAACAAAATTTCACAGCCATATGCTGTTCTCTTAAATTGGCCACCATCACAAAAAAACGAGGTAAGCAAAACTGCTTTGATGAAAAAATTCACTGTGACCAGAGAGAACCTTCCCAGGGGATGCCACTAGGTGCACTAACTCAGTGAGTTGCTTGATGCTCACCTAGCAGGGAAAAAAATGTGTACTATGAAAGCTCTGCTTTGCCCAGTGCAATTACATTTTGTTTTGTTGTGTTTTTTTTTTTGGGGGGGGGGGCTGTACCCCCTCGTATGTGGGCAACTTCTCTACACTCATAATTAAGAGTCTGGGAGGCAGACTCTGGTGGAGGGAGGCCTTCACATTCCTGAGTTGCAGATGAATCCCAGTCACAGTCTCCTAACTAAAGCTATTCTCCACAATGTCCCCTGTAATAATGCCCATTTTAAGATGCTGCTTGCAAGCACATGGTTGCTACTATAAGCTTGAAGGTTAACTGCCTGGTTATCTGCCTGAGGGCTGTCTGCCATCAAGGCCACCCCACTACCTTCTGATAAGGATCATAGATTGTTCCCCCAGAGAAGAGCTCAGGGAAACTTCAGGTCAAATTGCTCAGAGACAACCACAGTTAACTCTAGAACATTTTAACTCTAGAACACACCTATCTTGTTAGGTATATACCTTTATGGTACATGTATGTCTCTAACATATCCCCTTCCTGTTACGTATGTGTATGATGTGGCTTGCATGCCTGAAATTATATAAGCCTGTGAGAGAATACGTTCTATCTCTCTGAGGTGAGCTCATTCCTGGTCTGCTGTTTCTTTAATTTACCCTTCAACTACACAGTTGCTACTTAGGACCCATTTGGTTGTAGAGGCTGGTCCCCCACAAAATCAGGGTTGCAACCCATCACCATACTTATACAATCTGTATGCTGAACAAATAATCAGATAAACTGGATTATATGAAGTATTTATCATCGAGATTGGAAGGTTTATTAACAATCTGTGATAAGCAGATGACACTACCTTGCCTGCTAAAAGTGAGGACTTGAAGCCCTTGCTGATAAACATCAGGGGTCTCAGCCTTCCTTCAAAATAGATTACAATTCAATGTAAAGAAAACCCAACCCTTCACAACTGGACCAATAGGTAACATCATAGTAAATGGGGAAAAGATTGAACTTGTTATGGATTTCATCTTGTTTGGATCCACAATCACTGTTAATGGAAGGAGTCGTCAAAAGATCAAATGACACATTGCATTGGGTACATCTGCTGCACAAGACCTCTTTCAAGTGTTGAAAAGCAAAAAAATAAAGTGTTGAAAAGCAAGAATGTGACTTTGAGGACTAAGGTATGCCTGACCCTTTTCAATCACCTCATGTGCATGTGAAAAGTTGGGCACGAATCAAGAAGACAGAAGGATGCAGGTACGTGTTGGTGGAGAATATACAAGGTACCACGGACTGCCAAGAGAACAAACACATCTGTCTTGACTTTAAGTCAAAAGGTTCACAGAAGCAAGGATGGTGAGACTTCATCTACTTTATTGGACATGTTATCAGAGACACTGTAAGGTTTCTGGAGTGAGTAATACCTCGGTTCTTGGCTTCACACGATGAAAGAATTCACACGGAAACCTTTTTGTAATCCAAGTGGGTTTTCATGAAGGACAGGACAAGTTTCAGGTTATACAGTCTCAAAAGGGTACACACTATTTCTGGGAAGTGCCCAGCCGCATGGAGGCCAAGCTAGGGTTCACAACTGGGCACGAACAACCACACAGAAGAGAGTACCCACGTGTGTGAAACTTAGGGGTATCCCGGGAGGCCAGAAGCCCAAGAACCCTAGAGGCTAAACACATGTGGGTCCAGTAGGCCTGGAGTGGGTGCATCTGCGTGTCCACACAGGGGAGGGAGACCCTCACCCTCTGACCTGCCTCTGGCAGGAGCATGGTAAAAGCGAGTGACCCTTCTTCCTGCAGCCAGGACAGTTCAAGCCTCTGACTGGGGAGGCCAGGTTGATGGTATTTGTTAACCTCATTGGCTGTGTTAAGCCCACCTGGTGAGGTCATGAGTCCAGGCCTTGTTTGGACTTCCCAGGTGTACCTCCCAGCTGGTTCGGGGGCTTGATTATGATCATGCTCAGTTCGGGGCTTTTCACAGGCGTCTAATGGTTGCCTGAGTTCTTCCCAACCTCCTTATGGGGGCCTTGGCAGGCATGGGAGGGACAATCCACCTGTCCCTGAATCTAGCTACCTAGCAAGACCAGTCCCTGGAAAAGGACATCATGCTTGCTAAAGTGAAAAGGCGGCTGCATCAATGGACTCCAACATAAAAACATGTGTGTGTTTGTGTCCTGGTGCAGGAGCAGGCAATGTTTCATTCTGTTGTCCATAAGGTGGCTGTCATTCAGAATGGACTGGACGGCAGCTAGCTACAACAACCACACAGGTCAACGTCCACCAAAAAAGATCTTCTTTAACAAATGGTCCTGGCAAACATGTATCAGCATATGCAGAACAAATGCGCACCATGACCTCAGAACAGATCAAAGACCTAAATGTCAGACCTACATTCCAGTAAGAAAACATAGGGTCAAAATCAGGAGGCCTAAGTTTCAGCATAAACACCCTAACAGATAAAACTGCAAATGTACAAACAGAGGAGAAGTTAGATAAGCGGGACTTGGTGAAAATGAAACATTTGCACTCAACAGACTGTATTGCAGGAGTAAAAAGCACCTAAGTTGGAGGGCGCAATCTTTGGCAAGGCCATGTCTGCTAAAGGTCTAATTTCTAAAATGTATAGGATGCTTTACTAATTCAACAACAAGACAAACAATCCAATTTT